TCATTCTTTTCAAGCCAGGCGGGTACACTAAATTTCACCAGACCCCCTCCCCCAAATGCAAAAATAAACAGTCTTGTATATGACACATATTTGTTTGTGATCAGCTGCATTGTTGACCAAAATCTCTTGGTTGTAGCAAACATGGAAGCCTATAACAGTTTGACTAAAATTCATTCTTTTCAAGCAAATGCTTTTTTGTCATGGAGAAGGGCAGAGAACGATTCTTGCTCTGTTTGTATAGGCTTCCATGTTTACAATCAAGAGATTTCCCATATAACATATATTTGCCAATTTTCAGTTTATATCCAATGTCTGCCACAATAGAATGTGTTATTCAGGTTGTTTCCTGGCTGGATTGTATTAATTATACTCCACACCTTATCTTGATTTAATTAAAAGAATTTTTTCAAAATATCCAGCATCAAGTTGGTACATAAAACGAGTAAAAAACGAGTGGTTAAAACGAGTTTGAATATTTATGTAATATCTTTGTATAAAACTGTCACCTTCACCACGAAAGAAACAGCCAAAACCTATAAACTGTACCGGCTGCACTTCCTGACAGCTTGTCTATAATTTTGGAAATATTGTCTGGATCAATAGAGTTTACATCTCTGAAGTTTCGAATTAAACAGACGTGCAGAAATGCATAAGCTAGAACAGCAGGTTAAATTTTAACCCATGGTTAGTGTTAAAACACCTTTGAACAACTGGCAACCACATGGTTAGTGTTAACTCACCCTTTGAACAACTAGGTACCACAACAGCTTCTGGACAGTAACAGTTGTGGTTTTTATATTGTCTTATTTTTGGAGCATTTCTTGAAGGTATTAAAAACAAATAATAATTCTTTACTATATACAGGCATATTAGTATCCATTTGCCAATGTTCTTATGGTCCTGGCAATAATTGATTGTACAGAACTCTACACTGACAAACCTTCAAGGCCGTCAAGCCAGCGAAATACCAACAGCCAATACAAGTCAAGAAACACATTCAAGTGTTGGTGTCACAATCCCCATTATGTCGTTTTAACTTTGCTTCTAATGCTTATTCTGGATCAATAAGTGATAAAGAAATACTTCAGAAATCTGGATTTCTTGATTATTTGGAAGAAGGTGATATCATAATGGCTGATAAGGGTTTCAACATTCAAGACCTTTTAGCTATCCATGGTGTTCATCTTATAGCCCCACCAGTATCGGCTTGCACTTCCACATTAACCTGAGTAATTGCCACCAAACAAGTTCACATTGAACAAATGATTCGAAAACTTGCAAATATGAGAAAATTTCTTCCTCTAACATTCAAAGGGTATATAAGTTCAATTGTTAAAGTGTTTCATCATTGGTAAATTTACAACCATGTATAAAAAAAAACTAAATATTAATTAAAGGAATTTGTAGATTGGAATGTTATATGGACATTATATACACTTATTAGACCTAACTAGGAGCCATTGTGAAAAATGCAACTATATGCCCTCAGTTTAACCCATTCAGTACCCATTCATTTTGCTCTTCCTTCTTCGGCTTGTTCAGCAGTAAACCATTTATGCAGTTTCTGTACATATTCATCTGGACTGTTTTCATATATTTCCAATTCCTGTATTGAAATAGATAATGGTGTTTACTATAATTATAATTGAGTAGTAGTAGCATTTGTTTAATTTCTATTGGTACAACTTTAGCCCCAGGACTGAAGGTTCATAACATTTTGGGTGGGAAATTCCTTCCATCTCAGATTAAGTTGCAAATTTTATCAAAACGTCTAATTCCTTTTCAATTAAGGAACAGTGTCCATGTGATTTAAAAATCTTGCTTCCACTAGCGCAAGATATGCCAAACCAGTAACAATAGCACAGCCATAGTTGGGCAATGGTGCAATTACGAACAAGTGTAAATACCAGTTGTTCTTTTATACTTAAAATGGTGTGTAATTTTTTTGCCTAAAGAAATATGCTTATATGAGTTACATGCATGAGCTGTATTATAAACCATACTAAGCCTACTACCAAATTTGGTTTTGTGTGTCACCCTAGCCTGGGTGCAGGTCAACTGAACCCGAATTTTGTAAATGTCAACTCAAATTGGCATTTAAAAAATTTGGGTTGAGTCTGCAGGTCCTACTAAAGAATGCCAGGAAAAGTCATTGAATGCCCGCGAGTTGGGAAAGAATGGCTGGGGGAAATTACGTTAATAATTATGTTAGTTCCTAATAAAATCACTTAATATTTTATGAAAGATTAATTCTTGTAATATATTGCATTGCAAAATACTGTTTATGGCTGTCACAAAAGAATGTCCGGCAGCCAGAAATGAATGCCCGGGGTAAAATTACACAAGTAATCACGTTAGTTAATGATAAAAATGTTTTTAATGAAACTTTGAATGTTTCTAGTAGTATATGGCAGTGCAAAAACTATTCACAGAATGCCTGGGGAAAATTACATACCACTGTCACAAAATTGCGCTTCCAACGAAAATACTAAATTATTAATACCAGTTATATATTAAAAAACACTGTTTAGTTAAGCCCATTTTGTAGTCGAATCTGTATAGTAATAAGCAAGCGATTAAGCCAAATAAATAATTTGTAATTGTATGTGTTGAATCAGTGGTGGCTTTTGGCAATTCTGATTTTCATAAATTCCGAAAATTCAGTGAAAACAGAATTTCGTAGAACTTTCATTTTTTTAGGGGAGGGTACACATGAAAACATGGCCTGTGTTTAATTAGCCTGTGTGCAGCCTCGAGTATCTACTTGAGTCTGCGCATTGGGAGAGAAAAGCTTGTGCTGTCATGTGGATTTCCCCCTAAAACCGGGGAACGTCTGTGATTGGTCAGTTGCTAAATATTCATGTTTAACAATAATTTATGCTAAACGGGAAATTAAATTTTATGAGTCCGATTCAAAATGGCGTTCATTAAGCGAGAGAATTTGCAACGCGAAACTTCTGAGGATGCTTTGAAGATTGTATGCGGATTTTTCCAAATTGATAATCTGTATGAGGAGCAAAAGACTATTCTAAGACAGTTTTTTCTCGGCAAAACGGTCTTCTTTAGTGCTGGTACAGGCTATGGAAAGTCCTTGATTTTTCAAGCAGTTCCACTTTTAGCTGATCTGTTAATAGATCAAGCCATCGGAACAAGTATTGCTATTGTTATTTCCCCACTGGTGTCTCTTATGCTTGAGCAAGTTGCTTATTTAAAGTCTATCGGTTTTAGCGCAGCTGCTGTATTTGAAGGTCAATACGATCAAGTGTTGAAGGATATAATAGAAGAAGGCATATATTCCCATATTTATGTGTCTCCTGAATCTATGCTGTCCGTACAAGTACAACGTTGGCGAAGAATGCTCCAGTCACCCCATTTTAAAACTCATTGTGTCGTCGTCGCTGTGGACGAAGCACATTGTATCAGTCAATGGTAGGTACGTTAATATATAGAAAATATCTGTTGATGAATTTTGGCAAGTTAATTTTCACAATAACCAAGCTCTGAGAGCTTTTTTGAGTTTTGTCCACAAAGCTTGGGCCAACACGTCTATAACCAGATATCCACAATATTACTCATATTATATCAGTCAAGACTAAAGATTAAAATGACATTTTTTAACTTCGCCTTAATATTTGTGCAAAAATTCATTCAAATCCTATTAATTTACAAATCCCTTCTAGGCCAGGATGTCTTGTTCTCATGAATTGTGAGCAAATAGCTTTTCTTTTCATCTTGATTCATAGAAAGAATGAGGTAGTCATCAGAATTGTGTATTTTTATAATATTACTCATCCAGTGTTTTGATATTTTATTCATCTAATATAGGGGTTTACCAGGCATGAATAAACCAGTCCCTTTCCGGAAATGGTATGGAAATCTTGGTCAGCTTCGCGAAATAGTGCGTTTTATGGTGTTTTATCAATAACCTCTGATGAAACATTCATTGTAGAGATGAGCCCTGAAAGAAAGAACCTGTGGTATGTAGTTCAGTATGTGGACAATGCAATACCAATGAGTGAACTATTTCGAGATATAATTATGGAAGTGAGAAAGGGAAAAGATAAAACAACAAAGACATTACTTTATTGCCCGACACGAAACCAATGTGCCATTTTATGGAGGATGTTTAAATTAGAATTGGGCATTAATATATATTTGAATGGCTGCCCTACACCAACCGGGTATTTGGTACAAATGTTCATGCAGGAACTCCAGAGTCGGCAAAGAAAATGATCCTGGAAAGTGTGTCTTCGTATGACAACCACATTAGAGTTGTGATCTGCACCATTGCTTTTGGTATGGGCATCAATTGTAGAGGTGTAGAATGGGTCATCCATTTTGGTCCATCTGCAAATGTAGAGTGTTACCTTCAAGAATGTGGAAGAGCAGGGCGTGATGACATGTATTTTGCTTCATAATGGCTTTCTTTCGTCACATTGTTCTGATGACATGAAGGAATACATCAAAGGAGAAAAATGTAGACGGAGAATGATTCTAAATAATTTTCCTGGTTCACATGAAGTACAAGTGGCAAATGTCGTGATGTGTGTGCTAAAAAATGCACCTGTTCTGGCTTACCTGGAAATTGTCACTCCAGTTTATTATTTGAAGTTGGTTCCATCAGATCAACTGTATATAAATTCAGGAAAAATCGAGTTGTAACTGATGAACAAAGATCAGCTCTGAAAGCTAAACTTTTTGGCAATGTATCAAAAAAGTGATGTCAAACATGTTTGTATCCCCATGTTTTTTAGAATTTGGAAAATTCCATATTGCTCAAATAATGCTAAACTGCCATCAGTTGTTTTCTATTGAAGATATATGTAACTGTGTTGAAATTTGGAGAATGGAACATGCCAATAATATTTTACTTATTTTAGCCAACATTTTTAAGGATGTTGACAATAGTGAATTAGAATTTGAAAATGTGGATATGAAAGATGTTGATTGCATGGTTGAATCGGAATGGGCAGATGTTGGAGATGATTCTCTTGTAGATTAATGAGGCATTGACTGAGTTTGACGAATCTGATGACAAAAACATGGATGTAAGTGACATTATGAACGAATTAGCTGTCGAAGTATCCAAGCGCATTGACATCGACATTAGTGAAAAGCTGTGAATTTGATTGTGTTGTTGGCTATAACTTACTCCATTAGGCTGCTCATCATTTTTAGTTTACTCAATCTAATAACTAATTAGCGATGCACGTAAAGCTGTGAAAAAAGGCGCAAAAATATTAGAGAAAAGTAAGGAAAGATGGGCTCGGGACATTTGTAAGCGCTCTAACATTTACTGTCGGATTTTTGATATGGAGGCGTGCCTTGCAAGTTGGCAACAACAACAAATTCTCATGCCAGTTTAATTATGCAAGTAACATTCAAAATGTTCCAAGTCCGTCTCTCCCTACGGACTTGAACCAAGTCTATCTAACCACAGACAATTTTATTTGTCAAAGGGGGAATTGTGCATTTACCTATTAAGCACCAGCAAAGTAGAATAATAAACTAGGGCACACATGCATCATGGCACAACTATTTAATTCAATTACAATGAAATTATCTAGCAGTTTTTTTCAAATATATTGTTCTTTTGTGCTCATTGATCCACTTAAACATCGAGTTCATGTTAAAGTTTGATAACAAGCTTGGATCTATATTGACAAACTTTTTATGCTTCCTGTGTGCATGCTTTGTGAATACATCAAATTTTACCAACTCATCAATAACTTTTTTTTTGGTCACGAGTTGCTGCTTTTGTGACATGTTTTCCTGCTCTTAATACTTTACAGTCAAGGTCAAAATTATCCATAAGTTGCTTAGTAACTCCAATGGCCTTTGCAAAGCGGTTAACAGCCTTTTCAGTAGATGTGTTAGGACCCATATTTTTAATTATTTGCTTCAATACCCTATTATAGTGCTCCAAGGCAAGATCAAGTGGTATATTATGTTTGCGATGTTACTCTGAGTGCATATCCACACCGGGCGAGCTTGAAAAATATGCCCGGCCACGGTGGGATTCGAACCTACGACCTTTGGAATACTAGCCCAATGCTCTTCCAACTGAGCTACGCGGTCAGGACAGTTCGAGTAAGTGATATTTCGGAACAGTATCTAATTCCTTCAATACCAATGTGTTCTATTAATATGAATTTTTTGTGTTGGTGTTGTGTACTCAGGTGAATATGTTTGCGATGTTAGTACACAACACCAACACAAAAAAGTGGTATATTGCCTCCCACTCCATTTTTTGCTTTCACAGACCAGTTCCACACAAGGCGATGTGCATCTCTTGGAGATAAAAGGGCATAGATTTGACACATAACGTTTAGGCCCTCTAATGCATACTACTGCTTCTCTGAGCATCCCCTTTCAGAAACATTAGAAAGAATTTCCAACACCGAATAATCCTTTGCCCATCACCTTCTGATACAGCATCTGAAAAGTTGCAAAACAACATTCCATACTCTACAAGAGCATACTGATAATTAAAGGATATGGCCAACAAAAATTTTTATTGATTTTATTGCTTCATCTGAAAGAGCAGGAAAAAATAAGCCGATTGGCCGTTTACTGCTCTATTCTATCTCATCTGGTTCCGAAGTTATACGCAAAAATGTGCAAAATATAAATTGCTGATTCAGCACAATGTGTGACATCATAAGCTGGTTAAGTATGTTTATTGAATAGTAAACTAAAGCATAGCTGAGTTATTATTGGCTCAAATCAAATGAAATTTTGCATACAGATGGTACATGATGAGACGCATGGGAAAATACTTCTAATTTCGTTGTCAAGGCAACACAGTCGTTCCCAGGCCCCTTACACTGATTTTGAATAACTAGTTGCATTTCTCTATGTGTATGTCATTTTCGAATTATTATCATGCAAGTAAACTTTCAGCATGCATAGGTATCGTACACATACTTATGATATTATTTTATTTTTATCAGTACCTTGAATAAAGCTGTTTTATAAAATTGGCGCAAAGGGGCCTGGGAACGACATTGTTACCTTGGCAACAAAATTAGAAGTGTTTTTCCATGCGTCTCATCATGTACAATCAGTATCCAAAATTTCATTTGATTTGGACGCATAATAACTGAGCTATGCTTCAGTGTAGTATTCAATAAACATACTTACCCAGCTAATGACGTCACACGTTGTGCTGAATCAGCAATTTATATTTTGCACATTTTTGCATATAACTTCGGAACTAGATGAGATAGAATAGAGCATTAAACGGCCAATCGGCTTATTTTTTCATACTCTTTCAGACGAAGCAATAAGATAGATGAAGCAATTTTTGTTGCCCATACCCTTTAAGCATGTCATCTCTTTGTGTTGTTTCAATTGCGGTCATCAAATGATCTCTTTCCAGCCCATGTGTCTTCTCATGATCCTCTCTAGCCTTACCATCACGAGCAAATGATTTTTTACAACTAGGATATCGGCAAGGGAAGCGACCATTTGGTAGCATTCCGACATCTTCCTTTTCCTTTTCTAATTTGCTTATTAATTGGTTCATTTCATCTTCTTGAAGAACAAACTTGTCGACAACTTGAAAGCACAGATCTTTTAGAAATGCCTTTCGGGTTTGAAGTGAAGCTTCTTTCATAGCTGCTGGTAGAGCAGACTCGTCAGGTATGCCTTCTAATAATGATTGTAGCCCCAGTAAATTTAATGCTGCAGCAATTATTCATGCATCAATTTCCAAATTGAAAAATGGCTTGCAAGCACTAAAATTCTTCTTCACCTCTTGAACAACGTTGCGCCTATCTATCAAAACTTTGTCGGCAAATAAGGTGCATTTGTCTACAGCAGCACCAGGATCATAGAAGTGATCAAATGCAACCTAAAAGAAAACATAATAATCACAAAATAATCTAACTTTGAATAACATTTTGATTTTTTATAATCTATGTTTCGACTAGATTGTAGTCAGCATAATCTAGTTGAAATGTAGACTATACATACTATCAAGGGGAGATTTTAATTAAGGTTACAGGACACCCTTTTGGGCGTTTTGCGGAAAATCGCCACAGCGCGCTCAATATCAGTCCGATTTTCATCAACTTTTCACCAAATGTTCTTCAGTGCATGCAAAATATGGTAAAGTTGTAAAATTGACAAACAATGAAATAATATAAGAATTATTCAGGAAAATCTTAAATTGTGGTACCTTTATGCTTTTGAGTTATGTTCCTGCTGGTTTTAAGATATATTTATGAAAATATAATTTTTATACGGTAAAATAGTTGTTCTAAAAAATTGTGTTCGGAAATTTTTGTTTATTTCGTCATTCCGCTGATATGGCAATTTCTTTGACGACTGCAATATATTTCTGAATCGTTTGAGTGAATTGCTCGTTATTATTAAAATATCCAAAATTAGAAAAAAGCCGAACACAATTTTGAAACTGACGTCTGTAGCTATGTCCTGTGAAAATTTGAGAAAAATTCATTAAAACCTCCTTCTCGGTTTATAACTCTAGCATACTGTATATTGCATTTAATTAATACGAAAAAAGTTCGCTGCTCGACTTAAGTATTTTGTGAACTGTCCATCACTGGTTTCCAAAATGGGTTTATACATAATATCACATGGTAATAACCTGTACAAATTTCATCTGTGCATGAAAATCAGCAATTTCTAGGTGTAGACCTTCATTTCTCTCTTGAGGTGTAAGCCCATTTGCCACTTGAAGTTGGTTTGCTCCCCTCTCAACAGACAACTGATCCCCTGCAAGACCTTGGCTAATTGGATATTCCTTCATGTTATCATTGTCGATATTTGGAACATACTTGTGAACTGCTTCCAAGCACCTATGCCCCTGCCACAAACTCTTTTTTCCTTGACATCAGTCATCCAAAAGGCTATGATTGTGATTAGCTGTCAAAAAGTGTCACAACATAAAAACATCTCAAATTTATAAGGTTTAACAATAACAGTGACAGGTGACTGTAAAAATAGGGTCTGCCAGAAACAAAAGACAGGATTTTTATGTCAGAACTTAATCAACTGAGCAACGACTTCTCAAAATAAAAAATACTCCCTTCTAATTTGTAAACTGCTCGACCATATCAACAAAAGCATTAGACAGATTTTAACCCATTGAGTGGAAGCACTCTCCCCTTGATGAATAAAATTGTCTGGAGTTAGACAGATTAAAAGAATAAGTTGGGCGTATTAGGGTGCATTGCCACTTAAAGGGTTAACAGGATGCATGGTCAGACTGGTTAACCCATTGAGTGTCAGCACTCCCCCCTTGATAAGTAAAATCGTCTGGTGTTAGACAGAGTGAAATAATCTGGCATTAGACAGAGTAAAATAATAAAGTAGGGCACATCATGGTGCTTTGCCACTTAGGGAGGGTTGATAGTCTCATAGAGCACATACTTACATTTTCTGTTTTTTTCATCATTTCTGAAGTGTATGCATGCTTGATGTGTCTGGATGCGCATTCATTTAGGAAATCCAGACATGGTATATTATCTACCAAGATTCTGGAAACAAGGGAGCTATAATTGTCCCTTTGAAGTATATGTTCAATTTTGTTGGGAAGCAACTTAGCATTTTCAATCTTTAAGCAGGCTCTTTGTTTCTGATTTTTCTGCTGGTTGCCAGATACTCTGTTCTCCACAGATACATGAGTGACCCAGTGGTTGTCTATGCTCTGGTGATCTTCTGTCATGTGATGAACAAGTTGCTTAAAATCAAAAGTATCAAATACAATCTTTCTTGCTGTTTCTCGAGCTTGGCATGTGGCTGGTACAGCACTTGGATTCCCATCTTTATGAAGCTTCATTTCTTTCATCCTTTCTCTGTCCTTAGCCACTTGAGTAAGGATATTTTGATGATGGTTTTTCCCATATTCATCCAGTTTCTTATACAGATATGTGTGCGACACTGCTAGTCGATTAATCCTAAGTCGACAAAGGGTTGCCTAGAATGAAAACATTAAAAAATCAAATGCTAATAATGAATGCAATTTGTTTGCTCCCCTACTAGTTTAATACCAACAGAGCATATTAGAGAGTGGGAGGGGGGGGGGGATAAGTCATACAAGAAATAGAAGCCCCCCCGGACAGTTTTTTATTTTCTATGGTTTATTAATATTCTATGTCCTGCATTTTGAGAAAAACCTCAACATAATTTATAAGGCCATAGTCATAGAAACTATAGTTATTGTCAAACTTCTATTACTATTATTAATAATTATTTTGTCTATAGCCTACCCCACAGCAACCCCCCCCCCCACCCATCTCCACGGTGGCTGACTAATGCATCCTTGTGCAGAGTTTTTTCATGGCTTTTACAGCAGCCCACAAAACTCAATCTTGAATCGAGTTTCAGTGAAACCCCACTATCTCCTCAAAAGTTTCAGTGCAGTAAAAATGAATTTGTTGCAGTTAAATTTCACAATAGCAAGTATTTGGATGGGGGAAAGGAAGGGGTTCAACTGCCCTATTTAAGTAAACTCAATCTTCTCTTTATTAGCAGTACTTTCCACTTGACAATTTATTAATATTGATGGAAAAACTGAAATTTTACTCATGTTTGTTAATAAATTTCCAAGTGGTATATTGGTAAAAAACACTGTGTTAAAATGTTTATGGCATTCATTTATTTGTGTTATATTTACTCACAACAAACAATTGAAATGACATAAAATAATAAATTCAGGCATGTATTGGAGTTAACTTACCATTAAACCTGAATGCTGTACGAATAGAGAATTCAGAAGCTGGAAGGCATCCAGTAGAGGGCAGTTCTTCTTGTTTTGGTCTTACGAACTGAAGCACTCATTAGCACACTCTGCAGAAGTGGTATACGCTGTTTTGCCTCCTCATCAAACTTACTGAGTGAAAAATTTAAAATATCCTTTTTGGATGTTTTTCTCAGCAGGCTGGGGTTTTTTATTGAGCACATATTGCTGCACTCTCTGTCAACTTCCTTTAAGAATAATTTAATTAGCTGCTCTCTAATCTTAGAGTTGTGCCAAGCAGCTCTAGCAATCTGGGTATATGTTTCCCAATACAACATTATACCAATGGAATTTAAATCATTAGGTAAAACTCGGTTCCTAGTTTAGTTGGCCATTGTACAGTTACTCTAACAACAGTCTCAACTTCGGGCTGACCTTGAACTGCGTGTTGGAATTGCTGGTTGAACTGGAATTGCTAGTAGAACAGGAACTGCAGGTTGAACTGGAACTGAAGGTTGAAAAGGAACACTAGTCGGTTGAACTGGTAAAATTACAATGGGTTGAACTGGAACAGCAGCTGATATTTCCTGAGGCAATTCTGGTAGCTGAGACTGTATATGATGACTGTGTGTTGTTACTCGGTGCGGAGTTGATGTTGTTATTGGCTTTTGCTCATATTTTTAACCAATCTATTTCTACTGGAATTTTTCCCAATGCTTTCAAAATATCTAGAGTAACACCAGTCTATAAGAGTGGGATAAAGACAGACACAAATAATTATAGGCCAATAGTTTTGCTATCACCCTTTAGTAAAATGCTTGAGCGAATTGTATATGACCTGCTTATGACTTTTTTGGAGAAATATAACATACTCAACAAGTATCAGTTCGGCTTTAGAAAAGGACACTCAACGGAACAAGCTATTTTAGAAATAACTGAGAACCTGAAAACTTCCATTGATAATAATCTTATTACATGCGGGGTTTTCATTGACTTTTCTAAAGCTTTTGATACGGTCAACCATGAAATATTATTAGCTAAATTATTTAAATATGGAATACGTGGTCATTCACTTGAATGGTTTAACAGCTACTTAACAAATAGACTTCAATTTGTACAAATAGATAACGTACAATCTAGC